AGCATGTAGAAGATATGCTAATTGAAATCTGTCACCGATTTTGAGGACATCGGTCCCAAATCGGTCAATCCATCACCGGCCGACTGGGAACCCTTCTGACTCGTTCTGACCTCTACGTGTGGCGAGCCGGGCCCCGGGGCGGCCGAGGCAGCTGAACTTGACCACGCAGCGCTCGCGGCGCATACGGAGGCCGTGGTCCGACCGGGTGGGGACGTGAAGCAGAGAAGAAGAACCCCTGGTTTCATCCTGAAACCACCATGATATGGGTTTGAAGATGGATGGCAAGAAGAACCCCTCAAACATAATGTAGAGACTTTTGATTTAATCGCCCCCCCTTTGAAGAGGATGTCCAATTCTGGGGGGTGTATTCATATGTATGAATCAAGAGTCTACACTTATTGTATCTATGGATCAACATGGACGACAGGCTGCTGCTTCCAGGGTCGTCTTCTTTGAGCTCAGAACACCGGATGGGTGAAAATCAAACAGTTCCCGATCATCCAACATCATCAATTCCATGTTCGCCCGCCTTCCTGTTGGGCTTCCTGTTGGTCTTTAACCACTGCCAGGCGCTCCGGCGCCGCCTCCTCCTCGGCACCCGCGCCGCGCGCGGCGGCGCCCGCGCACGAGCGGGGCCCGGCGCCGCTCCCGGCGCCGGCGACTGAGCCGCCCGAGCCAAGCGAGGCGAGGAGCTGCACGAGCGTGGCGAAGGGGCCGCTTCCCCAGGAACGCGCCCGGCTGGCCAAAGTGCCTGGGGCGCGGTAATGCTGAAGACGTGAAGAACTTTCTGTGTGTTCTGCTGACTTGGAGATGAAGATGAATGAGGAATCCTGAGGAGCTGCTTTCTGTGTTTGGATATAGGCAAGTGTTCGAGACATCAGTATTACAGGACAAGTTATTCAGTCACAAGCTCAAGGGAGGTATGTGATGCATCGCTTCGCTCCATGAAATAGTCTATACAGTCTAATTGAATCTAATTGACAGTCTAATTATACTCCAAATCATCTCCAAACCATCCAAATAGGATCAAATAGGAGCCAAGTACCAAGTAACTTGCTGTTGTTGAGGGAACATCACCGAACTGTGGAACATCTGGAATACTTGTAGTGGAAGAACCGGACCCGAGCGGATGGAGTAGCGGCGTCACTACCTGGAGTTTGACTGAGGAACCATCCCAAACAATAACTCTCGGGACGGAAAACAACTCAAACTTCACAAAACTCTTTATTTGTCAAGGATTTGTATGATTCAGGATTTGTATCACTTATGGTCATTATCCATATTTGATTGATTTTGATTGCGCCCATGTCAAAATCGCATCGATGCCCCCCGTCGTCAGGACTCGTCCCACATGGGAATGCTGTTGAGAAAAAAAACAAGGTCGTTTAGTGCCCGTTGAGTACCCCCTTTGTCGGTCCAATGGAACATGCTTGTGAATGGCTGTAGATTGCCAGCCTACAGGCCTAGAAGTTGCTCCAAATGGTTGATGTAATGACTTTTCTGCACTTGCAGAGCTGTAGGTTGCCACCCTACAAGCCCAGAAGTT